TTATTTGATAAGACTGGATGGGAGGTTGCCGAGGCGTTTCAGAGCATCTTCCAAACAGGAAGGGCTCCTAGAAAGTTACAGACAGATGCAGGAAAAGAATTCTTAAACAGGCCTCTGAAGATGCTTTTGGAACGTTATGGCATACATCACTTTGTGACACATAGTGAAACTAAAGCAGCAGTTATAGAGAGATTTAATTGCACTCTGAAAAATAAAATCTGGAGGTATTTTACAGCTAAAAATACTCACCGGTATGTGGATGTGTTACCAGCTCTCATGCAGGGCTACAATAGCTCTTACCATCATAGTATCCAGACGGCCCCCAATACGGTAAGCTGCTCTAATGAAAAAGACATTTGGCTACGTCTATATGGAAAAAGGTTAAAAGCGGTCAGAAAGTTTAAAAACTTTAAGGTGGGGGATCACGTTAGGATATCCAGACTAAAGGACAAGTTTGAAAAGGGTTATCACCAAACCTTTACAAAGAAATATTTATTGTCAAGGAACAGCTACCAAGAGGAGAAAGAACTGTATATAGATTAATGGATTACGCAGAGGATCTCGTCCAGGGAACTTTTTACCCAGAAGAAATGCAAAAGATACCTAATGATCAAGAGTGTGTCTCTAGAATTGAAAAAATAGTCCGGAAAAGAGGGAGGGGAAAACAAAGAGAATTCCTAGTTAAATGGGCTGGATGGCCAGAGAAGTTTAACAGTTGGATTAAGGAGCGTGAAGTGAGCCATCTTTGACATGGCAGGTTTCTATATTACACTGCCCATCAATGCATCGGCGGCAGTATTTCCCAACCACCAAAGCTCCAACTTTACTATAAGGTTAGCAAAAGTTTTAGAGCTTCTGGGATCATGGGAAGTAGGACTGGTGGATATTCTCACACTTGGAATGCAATAAATGCAAACAAATATTTTGAAATTGCCAATGAGAGAAAAAAATGGCATTTTTGTTTAAAAGTTGGTCACTATGCAACCATCTAGCAAGTCATTAAAAATATGAACAAGATTATGGCGGAGTCTGAACAACCACCAGAGGTGATCATGAAGTATGATGCAATTGGATGGAAAATCAGAATTAAAGGCGCTGGTCCCTATAGCATACTAGTCACCAAAGGACTTGGCCGGATATTAGGATTACAACCACATGTGCATACCCAAAAAAGTGACTTTGATGTGGACATTACAGGGGGCTCCAACACGCTGTATATTTATACAGATATCGTGTGTCCGCACATAGTGGGAGACTTTTATGTACCATTACTACGATGCTTACCTGTACAGGGTATGGACAATGAAATAATCACGACAACCTATGACCAACCTCATTATGTAACCATCAACAAGCATTACACTGACACGATCACTGTAGAAATCAAAACAGGCCAGAATGAAAACATTGTTTTTAACCATGTAAGGTCATTGCTAAGCTTCATTTCAGGCCTCAGAAAAGTGAAGGATGGTTGTGATAAAGAAGTGCGGGAGCCCTCAAGCCTATGTAGTCTACTACAGGACACAGGCGGGAAACGGGCTACTGGGTTTTCGAGGAGCTCCTGTTATGTATGGTACAGGTATAGGGGGCCTGTTCCGGGGACTTTTTTGAAAAGTGATGCCTTTACTGAGGAGAGGCCTAGAAATCATTAAACCTCACGTGAAAGCGGCAGCTAATAACATTGCCAGAGATGTGTCAGGACAGCTTGTATCATGTGTTGTTGGGGGTGGGCAGGAGGGTTCTGGTATGGCGGTGATCAGGAAGAAACATTCTGTTGGCCCACCTATGCCTCCTAAAAAGAGGAAGGTTGTGAAAAAGCCACGCCATACAAAGTTCACAAGGAAGAAAGCGCAGTGACAAACAGAACATCTTCTAATATAAAATGGCGTTTATCCACGAGGCTTCAGAGGAATGTGTCAAATCAGAGCTAGATCTTTTTCAATTGGCACCTACGCAAACAAGCATTGAAAACTGCACGTACATCAAGATCCCCCCTTTATCAGCGCTGACACCGAATGCCCCCTTGGAATTTTTTATAACAGGGCATGGTGAGCATTACAGGGATTTAAACAATACTCTGCTGTATGTGAGCTGCAAGATTGTAAAGGCCGATGGCACGGATATCAATGATGGTGCAAGAGTCAGCCTTGTCAATTATCCCATAACATTGTTGTTCAATCAGGTGCATGTTACATTAGGGGATCGCGTGATTACACAGAGTCACCATTGCTACGCATACAGAGCTCTTATTGAACTTATTCTGAACTATGGTGGAGATGCCTTGGGCACCCAGTTTTCAGCGGGTGGGTTTTACAAGGACGATGCGACACTCATGGAGAACGCCTTGCTGACTGCGGCTGGTAACTCTGGCGAGAGCCAGACGTACAGATGGAAGTCGTAAATGGGATCTGCTAGGACAAATGCATAGCGATCTATTTTTTCAAGACAAGCTATTGATTAACGGTGTGGATGTGAGCATTAAACTCTCAAGAAGTAAAAATGAGTTCTGTCTGATGAGGGATGGTAACGAAAATTACAATGTACAGATCCTGGGTGCATCTCTCTTTGTAAAACATGTAAAAGTATCCCCCGGTGTACGGTTGGGACATGCGGAGGCACTGCTTACCTCCAACGCCAAATACCACATTGATCGTGTAGGCATGAAGGTTTACAGCATTCCTGCAGGCAGTCTTGTATGTAATCAGGAAAACCTATTTCTAGGACAGTTACCTAAACAGTTAGTGATCGGCTTCATGGACAATGCTGCATTTAGCAGTAATTATGAAAGAAATCCTTTCAATTTTCAGCAGTATAATGTCATCTTTTGTGCCCTGTATTGTGATGGTGAACAAATTCCTGCTGAGCCCCTTCAGCCTGATTATGAGCATAACCTTTTTGTGAGAGAATATATGCAATTGTTACAGACTTCTTGCAAATCCATGAAAGACCGTTCTGTGCTGATCAACCGTGAGGAGTTTAACAATGGCTATACGGTATATTGTTTTGATTTGAGTCCTGATCAAGGTTGCTCAGAGCACTATTCCCTGATCAAGAATGGCAACCTGAGGGCGGAAATTAGATTTGCTGTGCCCCTCCCCAATACCGTCAACATGATACTCTATGCAATCTTTGAATTTTTTATTGAAATAAGCCAAACAAG